CGTGTGGGGGGGGTGGTGGCTCCCCCCTCCCCCCCGGCTTAACCGCCCTTTAATCAGTTAACCAATTAAATATTATGTTTAGCCTGTTAATTAAATGGGATTTTGCATCTTTAGTTAGCACACTGAACCAGCTGCTGGTTACATAATTACCAGTGCCCTAGCCAATGCCCTAAGAGATGCCCACCACCACTAGGGTTTTTAAAGATGCCTAGAGAATTTAGGCACCTAACTCCGTTAAATCCTTTGCCTTTAATCAGTTAACCAATTAAATATTATGTTTAGCCTGTTAATTAAATGGGATTTTGCATCTTTAGTTAGCACACTGAACCAGCTGCTGGTTACATAATTACCAGTGCCCTAGCCAATGCCCTAAGAGATGCCCACCACCACTAGGGTTTTTAAAGATGCCTAGAGAATTTAGGCACCTAACTCCGTTAAATCCTTTGAAAATCCCAGTCGATGTGCTTTGGGATTAGAACCCAGCTGTGCAGCACCATGTTAGAACTAGCTTCTCTGGGGCTTATTTCTCTTAGGAAATAATAAGCAACATTATTTTCAAGTCAGTGCTTTGTTTTGTAGTCAGCTGTATGCTATTAAGCTCAAGTTACCTCACTGCACAGAGATAAACATAGAAAACACTCCCTCCCCCGTGCCCCATTCACAACCCCCCCAAAACCAAGACTTTTAGAATATCAAAAAGTCTAATTTGACTTTTCTCCTCCTAACCCATATAACTGTGAGCCACAGACACTCGACAGAGTTTGCAGACTGCTTGATCTTATGAGAGATACTATTGTAAGAGGATTTTTTCATTTAAGTCTGAACAATTTCCCCAGAAGTCGAAAACTCAGAAGCAGAAATGAACATTTAGCTTTAAAAAAAAATGGACCTTTGAAACCACAAACACAAATATTTAGTCAGGTGTCTCAAAATCTTGTTTTTGAGACAAGATTGATGTGCTGCTTCTTCTGGAATATTTGCTCACACACTCCACAAGAGCTGGCTTTCTTGGGAGAGTACGTTTTTAAAGGCAGGACTTCAGAAGAGATGAAACAAGTTGCCTTTTTCATTTTTCTAATGGGGAAGGATGTGCATGTTCTAGGCCTGCTCTAGTACACAGCGGGCTTGTCAAAGAAAGTTACAAAGATAAGAATAATTCAATCTAATCACACGTCTCTGGAGCTTTGTGCAGGATGAACTGGTTTTCCACTGCCTTGTGCCTTTTGTTGCTATTTACACGGATGCAACTGAGGTGTTAAATTCTACCTTAGCAGAATGGTACCTCATTGTGTAGGGAGGTACATAACAACACAAGATGCATAGCAGTGAAAATTCAGAACCCTTGCTTTAAATCTTTAACCCTTTGGTTAAAGTACCGAATAGGGTGTTTCAAGGAAGAGGAAGAAAAATTGTTTTCCTTGGCCTCTGAGGACAGGACAAGAAGCAATGGGCTTAAATTGCAGCAATGGAGGTTTAGGTTGGACATTAGGAAAAACACTGGAATAAGTTGCCTAGGGAGGTTGTGGAATCTCCATCACTGGAAATATTTAAGAGCAGGTTAGACAGACACCTGTCTGGGATGATCTAAATGGTGCTTAGTCCTGCCGTGAGGGCAGGGGACTGGACTTGATGACCTCTCTAGGTCCCTTCCAGTTCTAGTGTTCTATGATTCTATGATTTGGCTGTTCTAGGTTAGAATGAACTCTCAAAGGTCATGATTGGACTCTTGGTGACTCCAAATGAGAGTTAGTTTGGGTTTGGTTGCTTCTGGGCCTGAAGGGTGCAAAGATCCTTATTCTGCTCTCTGTACACCAGCTAAATTTGTCAGACCTGGTCTACACTAAAGGGCAAAGTTGACTAGAGGCTGCTGGTACCTGAAATTCTTCACAACCCTCTTCTTGCTCTGTGTGGTACATAGACAGCATTAAGATAGGCTCAGCATTTCCATCACAGTATTGGGTGTGGAAATGTGACTAGATTGGGCTTTGCATGAGTCTGATAGCAGCAACAACTGCTGAACACTAAAAGATACTAAGAAACAGCCCTGAACCTGCAAGTGTTCATGCCAGTATATATGGAACCCTCAATGAAACATTGATTCTACAAAGTGAGGAAAAATAAGCCATAACAGTTTGATCAGATATGCTATTTCTTTTTCTTTCTTGTTTTAAAACAGTGATACCTTGAGCTCTAAAGTCTCATTCACCAAAATTAACATTTATTTCCTCTATAAGTAGAGTTTTACAAATAGAAAAATGCATTTTCTTAGTTCAAACTCTTGTCTATGTACCAAATAGGTGACTTTGATGGGTTCAAACTTGTTCCAACTAGACATTTGCCCACCCCAAAATGAAAACCTGGTTATGTGCTTTGAAGGTCTTTTAATGAAATCTAAAGAATCGTCTTGCTCTTTTATCGTCAGCCTATTTCTGAACTCTGTTTTACTTTAAGAGATTCTATAACTGAAACTAATCTACTGTGGGTAATTGCGAGATCAAAGGAGGGGTCTCTGTGGGGCTGTCATTTGCTTCATAATTTTACACATAAATGTAAGATAAGAGAGATTATTCTGTCTTATCTTTATTAGACAGAGGCAAACAATTAAGTACACGTAACAGATATGATAGTTACTCAAATGTATTCTGATAGTTTTTGATCCAGAAAATGGATCCTGGGGAGCGACAAAAATGAGCAAATTACAGATAAGAATATGCCTTCTTTGCATTAACCATGCTCCTTTCTGGTTGACTATTGGGAGAGCTAATTCAGAAGCTGTGTTTCCCCCACAAGGGTTTGTATTGTAGTGCAGCAGCCATAAGTTTTGGCTATCTCCCTTTAAACTTCTTCAGAAAGAAGAGAAAAGAGACCTTGCTGATAATAGCTCTTACAAGGACAAACAAAATCCAGTTCAGGGAGACAGGACTCTGTAGGTTCTTTATATTAATGAGGCAGAGGGGAAATTATTCTCATGCTTCCAATACCAAAGTTAAAAGCCCTTCTGTTTTAGGTCTGCATGTTTTAGAACGAGGATTGGTGACTTTCCAAAGCCAAGATTTGAAAAATTGTAAGGCAAGGCTAGATAAAAACAGTGAACTGGATTCTCCAGTCCATCCCATTCTCTTTGCACCATGAATATGGGCAAAGGGAACTTGAAGCAGGAGGACACTTGTGCTGGAGATTTCCCCCTGTGTACAAGGCATCTCTTCTGGGATAAAGCTGGTTGAAATGACTCAAATGTGTCTCATGCCAGCTGTGCCTCCCAGCTCCACTGCCTCCTGTGTCTGCACCAAACACCTCCCAATATAAGGGGAGAGACACAGCTGGGACAAGAAGGGGAGAGAGTATGGCAAGGGCAAAGAAGGGAACGAACATGACAGTGCAACACTCTACTATGCCCAATTCCCCACTGGCATAAGGCTGTTAAGGGTCCCTTCCCTGCTCTCCCAGCCATGCCCCTGCAACTTTAACGTACCCTTGAGTTAGATGGCTGAGAATCTGTGACCAGGCCCCTATGCTTGGGCTCCATGGAGAATCAAGTACACCGAGTTTAATTGTGTACTGGACACCCCCCATGCATGTTCCGGGGTCATCTTTAATAAACTCTCTGTGCTTTATAAGAGACTTGCTCACAGCCACACTTCAATAGTCCCAGGAGCTGAAGGATGCTGTCCCTCTTAGGGTTCATCTACCCTGTAGTTACAAAACCTCGGCTGGCCCCTGACTTGGGCTCACAGGGTTTGGACTCAGGAACTGTTTAATTGTGGTAGACCAAGCTCTGAGACTCTCTCTCTTTGCATTACCCAAGAGTCCCCCACTCCAGCCTGAATCTCTGCCCTGTAGTTAAACAGCCCTATAGCCCGAGTCAACTGGCATGGGCCTGCCACTGGTTTTATCGCAGTGTAATAGCCAAATCAGGAGGCCATACTTCACATTATTCAGTCCCAAGTCAAGTCAACCCCTGTTGATGAGTAAGGAAATTTCCCTGAGGGACCATAGAATTGAATATAAACCAAGTAATAACCGAATCAGAGCCTGGGGCAAGGCAAAATTTTCAAGTGTCTCCCTTTCTTCTCCTTCCAGTGAGTGTAACAGTAACCGGGACTCTGTGCTCTCCTACACCAGTGTACGGAGTAACAGCTCTTACCTGGGCAGTGATGAAATGGGATCAGGTGAGTGAGCGGCTGGCTATCAGTCAGGCCTAATAAAAGAGGCTCTCCAACGTGATAGGGCAAAGTAGCTTTGTTGGTTGTGATTTAGCTGCTAAGGCAGTTCCTTGAAAGGAACATCGACCAAACTATTTGCATGATAGCTAAAGAATTAGAGGACTGCTCTTTCCGCAGGGGACTATTATAATCATAGTGAGAGGAGGAGAAACTAGGACCAAACTAGAGTTCTTTGTTGCTGATTTGTTTACATAAGGTATTGGCGTAGTCTGAAAAATATTTTGATCTGTGGATTGGGGAAGGAGAGCTCCCAAGCTACCCAATTTGTCTTCACTGATCTCTTCAAGCTTGTTATCTTACATTAATATACTCCATGGCTACGTCTACACTGGCATGATTTTCCGGAAATGCTTTTAACGGAAAAGTTTTCCGTTAAAAGCATTTTCAGAAAAGAGCATCTAGATTGGCACGGACGCTTTTCCGCAAAAGCACTTTTTGCGGAAAAGCATCCGTGCCAATCTAGACGCGCTTTTGTGCAAAAAAGCCCCGATTGCCATTTTAGCCAGATGATTTTGCAGAAAAACTTGCCAGTCTAGACACAGCCCATAGTTAAAACCATGGTCACGGGACTTTTTTTGTTGTGCCATAACCACATCACACCAAACTTCTCGCTGTCTAGTTTTGTAGGCAGAGAATGGGCCCGGGGGGGGTGTTGTTTAGGAGACTCCGAGAGGCACTCTTTAACTGTATAAGTGCTCCACATGGTTCATGAGCCACAGTTTGGCCACACCAGAGTTATAAAAAATAATTCATCTTTCCTTTATTAGGTGATGAACTTCCCAGTGACATGAGGATTCCTTCAGACAAACAAGACAAACTCCATGGCTGTCTGGAGCATCTCTTTAACCAGGTACAGGACGCTGGCACGGTTACATGAAGCAGCGTACTCGCTATCACAGAGCTATCAGAGACCACATTAGCAAACCATGCCTAAGTAGAGATCCAGTGAGCAATGTTTCAGAGTAAGAGGAGAAGAAGTGCATGTGAGATAGTTTGAGGAAACAGTTTTGTCTCCACCGACATTCAAGTCATTTTAAGTGATTTGGACAATGGTGACCTGCAGCCAGGCCTGCTGATGGAGGGAAGGAGCACAAAGGGGCAGTTGCTCTGGGGCATGGTAATTCAGAGGAGCCCGGAGCTCTCAGCTGCTGCTACTATGGCAACAGCCATAGTGGCTGAAGCCTCCGTCCATTCTGAATGGCGCACCGGCAGCTCTGCATGGCTCTAAGGGCTGTGGGGAGGGGCATGCCGTGGTCTGGGTGACACTAAGGGCTGACTGTCCTCAGCCCCATCCCTTCTGCTCAATGCCCTGCCCCTCCTGGGGCATGGAGCCTCCTCCTTGACCTGGGGCCTGCGGTGGCTATTGGCCTGCAGCTTTGGATTCAAGACAGGTGCTTTGAAACAGATGTGTGAAAACCAACAGTAGTGAAACCTTCCTATTAGGAGCAGTAAGAATAGATCTCATGGACAGAATTGTTGGAAAAGTTACCCCCCTGTGCAAAGAAAATAATGTTACCAAAAGATCTCTTTACACAGTTATAACCTCAGCTAAATTGTTCTTCTGTGTCCCTTGTTCATCAGAGCCCAAATCATTACTCTCCTGCCCACACCATGCCCCAAAAATTCATACTCCCATGAAAAGCTGAGGTTGGAATGGTTTAATTACCTATGCTAAAGTTGAAATTTCCATCAAGATAAATAGGTCTAGACTGTGACGTGGAGGCATCATGCTTAGCTTAAGTGAATGTGTTAGTGACAACATGCACTACTTGCAACTTCTTTGCACAATAAATAGTTCTTCAGAGATTCTCCTGCAGTTTTACTAAGAGTGATCTAATGCAATTCCTGCTCCAGGTGGATGCTATCAATGCACTCCTCAAAGGATCAGTCATATCCAAGGCCTTTGAAGAAACCAAGCACTTTCCTATGGACAACAATTTGCAAGGTAATAGAAAAAATGGTTTGGGTGTAGTGAATAAAATGTAATTTCACAAAATACAAGCCCTTAAAATTTAAGAACTAGAGGTTCAGAAGTCAGTACACCCAAGTTCTTATATAAAATTGTGCACACATAATTAGCCCACTCAGTTACAATAGTTATGTGACTTATAAATGACCAGTTACATGCTGACTATTGGTATTCTATACTGTTCACTAGCATCTCTACACATCCTGTGGGACTCACACAGTAGCAAATCTCTAGCAAGCTGATGGAGGGTCAGGGTGTGTCTAGACTACATGCCTCCTTCGACGGAGGCATGTAGATTAGCCAGATCGG